AAGGTTGCAAAGACACCTGGGGAGGAAAATAGGAAAGTCACAGATACTGCAGGTGCAGGAGGATTTACCTGGCCTTTCCACTTTACCACTGCTTCTTCCTTGACATTAAGACCAAGGCTTTCATCCTCCTGATCTGGAAAAGCACATCCCCCTCAACTTCCACAAATCTGCAAAACTTGAAAAGAGCCCCGTGTCATCAAGTAAAAGAGCCGGCTTTAGGAATCTCACTGGAAGGAGGGGTGTCTTCGAGACTCTTACTGCTAAGCCGGACATTTCCTAACACTGGACAAATTGTACGTCCAGCTCAGGGAGGGTGAACTGCAGTGGTCTTTTACCCTCCAAGCCAATTGTTAGCTTTTCACAGGAATCAGCAGGGAAGCACATGTGAAACCTCTGTGTGCCGGTGAGCGCCCCCATGCCTTGTGTGACTCTGCATGTAGATGAAGCAGGCTGGGAGCTTTCTGAGCTGCTGCTGCTGAGTTCTCAGAGAAGCCCTTTTCTCCAGCTTGGCTCCCTGCTGGGACAGCCCTTTTCAATTTTTCTATCCCCCCTCGATCTCTTCTCCTGCAGAACACAGGGAAACTTGATTGAAATAAAGACCTAGGGAACATGTTTTATTTTCTCCTGTTCAATCCATTTTAGAAAAGCTTTTAATTGGTTTTAAAAAGATGCTAAACAAAATGTGATGATGTTTTTCAGTCTTCATGAACTGCAGATACCACTTTTTATACTTCCAAAGGGCTAATAAATCAATCATGAAATTAACTCTGCAGCTAAATTTAAAGCAAAGCCACTGAATTACAAGTTCATTAAAAATCTATGCATTTACTTAGAAAAATTTAAAATTCAAAGAAAATTATCCTAGTAACTGAAATCTGACTTGAATTTTTAGTTCTACATTGAAAATCCAAGAACAAGGCAATCACAAAGGGAAAAAAGGAGGGCTTGTGAACCAGTTTTAATAAGCCAATTTGCAAGAAGGAAGGGGCGGGGGAAGGGTAGAAGTGGGAAAGGGACTATCTCAATACAGAACAACATAGTGCCCCTGGAGGGATTCTTTTATTTAAGCATGTGCACACATGGACACACAATTTTTCTGTGTGAAAGCTGGAAGAACAACAAATGCAAAACGAAGGATTGTGTGACTGATACCATTGCTGTACTGTATACACATACAGTTCTTCTTTTTAAAGAAAAATGCCCATAGCTTTTGCTTCCTCACCAGTGATAAATCATAGTTTTCTATCATTCTAGGAACTTCACAACATTCAGATGCATGTATGTATAATGTTTAACTGGAAACACCTGAAAAACCTACATGCTAATGGTCTGATGACCACTTCAGAATGATAAATATTCTTGACACTTAGGTCAGTTAGAAAAACTTGAGACAGTATAAATTAATATTAAAAAGCAAAGTGATAGAGACAAGATATATTTTTATTTTGTTAAATATGTGACAACTAGAAATATTCCAAACATTAATTTCCCCTGCCACCAATTCACTTATAACAGCAGGTCACCTAGCACACCAGGTCAGAGTCACCAAATTCAGATTAATGACAGGCTAGTATTCCCTCAAAAGAGAATCCCTGCTATTTCCAAGCACTAACTCAACTAGACCTCTTGCTTCTTACATATGTCTGCATTCTTTCTCTTTAGTCCTTAGGGAAATTCATTCCACATCCTTTTTTAATGATGCAATTGCTGTTTCTAAGATATTTCTCAAGCTGGGCCATATCCCTTGGATGCTTACCCCTCACTTCTAATTCTCCATAGAATTCTCATTTTATCATTTAAATAGCTTCTAAAACCTTATTTTAAAAAAAAAAGTGACCATTTTATTGAGCTAGAATTCATTTAGCACCCATTTAAAATTTATACAATTCAATAGTTTTTAGTATATTCACAAATATATTCAAACATCACCACAATCAATTTTAGAGTTTTGTTTGGTTATTTTTGGCAGTACTGGGTTTAAACTCAGGGCCTTGTGCTTGCTAGGCTAATGGCCTACCACTTGAGCCATCACCCCAGAAAGAAACTCCATATCTATTAAGCAGCCAGCTTCCATTATCCCCATCCATTCTTCCCAGTCCCAGGCAACCACTAATGTGCTTTCTGTCTCTAAGAGTTTGCTAATTCCAAATATTTCATATAAATGGAATGTATGTGAAGTAGGTGGCCTTTTGTGACTGACTTCTTTTATTTAGCATATTTTCAAAGTTCCTCCATCTTGCAGCATGTATCAATATGACATGTTGTATCATTGAATAATATTCTACTGTATGGCTGTACCAGATTTTATTTTATTTGCATTTTTATTATTGCCACTTTTTGGTTATTATGAATAATACTGCTACGAGCATTCAATATACATGCTTTTTTTGCAGTACTGGGATTTGAACTCAGGGGCTCATGCTTACTAGGAAGGCACTCTACCACTTGAACCACTCCATCAGCCCCATGATTTTTAATTATTTTGGTGTATACCTTCGAATTGATGGGTCACCTGGTATCCCAATGTTAAACTTTTGAGGAATTCTAGATTGTTTCCCAAAGACTGCACAGCTGTACATTCTCACAAGGAGCTTATGTGGGTTCCATTTTTTCCACCACCTCACCAACATCTGTTTTCATCTAACTTTGGGATTATGGCCATCCTTGTGGGTGTGAAGTTGTGTTCACTGTATTGGTTTTGATTTGCATTCCCCTGATGACTAATAATGTTGACTGCCTCTTCATGTACTCATCAGCCACTTAAACTTTATTTTTGAATGTTTCACACTAATCATATCTTGTTTAAATATAAACTCTAAAAATATTAAAACACCTATGCCCACTAATGAGAAGATGCTAAAATATATATATTTAGTAAGTTATACATATGTTTTGTTGATTAATTATTCATGAAGTGTGTATGTATGAAACTCTAGCCCAGATGCTGTGAGACTTAAAAGCATAAGATAATATTCCTTTTCTCTAGAGTCTTACATTTTTGCAAAAACAGAAATAGTTATTCTTAAGTCTTTAATCAAAATGTTATGGATTACTTATTAACATTTTATGTTTATTTATATTGATAACTATTTTGGATTGCAAATAACTCTCAGCTAGGAGATGTATCTCTATTTAAACCAACATGTACAGGATTTAACCAGGTAAAGGACAAGAAGTTTAAGATAGTATTGAAATATTTTTCTTTCTTGTCCCTAGTGACTTTTAGCATAAATGCTTTTAAATACAAGACTGAATATTACAAGAAATAAATGCAAATGACTACAAATGTTTTCTATTCTAATGATTTTTAATATGCTGACTTCATAAAAATGATTTTTGTGGGTGTGATATGTATGAGAAATTAATTATTTCTGTTTCAGCAACTTTAGATATATCTACTTACATGTTTATTAAAAAGTTGCCTAAGTACAAACTAAAACTTCAGTTGTGGGAGAATCACTTGAGCCCAGGAGTTCAAGACTAGCCTGGACAACAGAGTGAGACCCCTATCTCCAAAAAAAAAAAGAGAGAGCAAGAGAAATGTAGGGGCTGGAGGTGTAGCTCAGTGGTAGAGCACTAGCAGCATCATGAGGTCCTGGGTTCGATCCTGCCCAGTGTATACATATAGAAAAAATCTTCAGGACATTGTAAGCTATGGTTCTTTTACTACTCTAGAAATTGAAAAAAAAAAACCACTTAAAAAACAAGGCAAATCCTTTAAGTGCAAAATATATACACATATAATTTAAACAGTTAAATTAAAATTGGGGGGAAGGGGTGGTGGCACAAACAATGTATATACACATGTAAGTAAATACACGTGTAAAAAATATACATAAAAAACAAAAAATATACATGTAAGTAAATACATGCATAAAATATAAGGAGAAAAGAAAAGAATTAAAATTTGAGTCACCAGCTTAACATTAAATACATTTCTCATACAGTTTAGTTTATACCTCTATCTTCACATATGAGATTCCCATATAGACACTTAGATGTTTTTCAAGTTAATGCTCAACCCTTTGTATCTGCCTTTGATTGGCAATTCTTCAAGTTAACAGTTCACAGAATTAACGAGGAGAATTTGTTTTATAACATAGCCAAACATACTCTGCTAGTCTCTATATAATTAACACCTTCAAAAGTTGGTTTTAAATTTGTTTGCTAAGCTATCAAAATCACCAGTCTCTAGTAGTCGTATCAAAACTGGCAATAATTTCATTCCTTAAAAGTACCATATGACACAAGAGAAATAAGTCAAAGTCACCTGTACAAGTTTAAAAAAACAAACAAACCTGCTTATAGTAAATAAACATAAAGTTCCTCAAATACAAATTCTTAGGAAAACGATGAAGTGAAATGGGAACATGGATTTAATCCCTTTTATATTAATATCATAATATCTCTTGGAAGGCAAGCAGGAATAAGGATATAGAAAGTGTTAGAGAATTTACAAAATGAGATGCAATACTAATCTGAACTGTAGAATTTTGATATCTTTAGAAAAGAAGCCGTATGCACTGGCTCACGCCTGCAACCTCAGCTACACAGGAGGCAGAGATAGGGAGGATTGTGGTTCAAAGGCAGCTCACGTAAGAAGTTTATGGAACCATTTCAATCAATAAAGAAGAAATGGGCTCAATGGTGTATGCTCGTCAGCCCAGCTATGTGGGAAATATAAATAGGAGGATCAAGGTCCAGGCTGGCTTGGGCATAAGTACAAGACAGTATTAAAAACAACTAAAGCAAAACAGGGTTGGAGGTTTAGTTCAAGTGGTAGAGAACCTGCTTGGAAAGCACAAGTCCCTGAGTTCAAATCCCAATACCATACACACACAAAAGAAAAAATCTGTTAGAAAAATAATTTACCTTAAGACTTGACAGAACACATGACCCTTCAAAATCCCTTATGTTTATGATAAGATTATTCAGAGAGAGTATTATTGTATGAAATTTACTAAAAGAACTGTGATAATATTCCTTATTATTTCTCTTACCTGAGGAGGTGCCTTCTTCAGTAATACAAGAAGAGCCTGTAATACCAGATTAGAAAATCGGGGACCAATAGGGACATAATCTGGAAGAGAAACATTGTCGTATTTAGGGATTTAATATATATATGGCACATATCCAAACAGTCAGATTTTTCCGCATCAAGAGTAAACATCATTCTTAGTAAGACAGGCTGCTAACTATATTTTTTTCTAAAATAAGGGGAAAAAAACCCTCCAAGAACCCAAATGCTTAAAATATAACATAAGCACTCTTATTTGTAATTCTTTTTTTTTTCCTTTAAGAAAATTTATTTGTTCCTCTATTGTAGAAATAGGAAAATGGTAGTTTGTGCAAAACACACATTTATGAAGTGAATTCTCATACCACATCCTTTTCAACACAGACTTGTAACATTATCCAGCCAGCATGGAGACAGACTTCTACTCTGCTTTGGCCTTCATAGCTGCTGCTTCCTCTCTCAGACGAGCTTTCCTTTCCAAGTTCAAGCTTGTTAAGGACTCATTTCTTTTGATAGCCTGCTTGCCCTCAATAACCATCAGGATGCATCCATCCTATCACTGTCAGGGCAATCATTACATAGCTGATCTTCACGCGGACCTTGTTCTTCGCAGCATCGAGCATCTCAAACGAGACAGTCTCTGGGATTTCATCTTCCTTTTTGAAGCGCCCTGACCATATCAGGATCTTCTTCTCCCAATCCGTGGGTTTGTGTAATGGTACTCTGTGACTGTAAGTGCTGGTTGGAGCTTTAGGACTTTCCTGTGGTTTTGTGCAAAAGCCATTTCTTGTCTTCAAAACAGAGTTTCTGGTAAACCTTAGAGGGGAGGAAGCATTTCTTTCATATAACCTAAAACAATTTCCCGCCACCAGGCGCAGGCCGCGGAAGCTGCCCATGGTTGCCTACTCCAACGATCTCTGCCTATTTCTGGTCGCAGGGCAGCTGTGGGGCTGGTGCTGTAATTCTTTTTGAAAAAAACTTCTAAATAACCATTTTGAATCCAGTAGACATTTTGATAGTTTTTCTTTTCATATATATAATATATATATATATATTTTTTTTAATTTTTCTTTGTTTTTGGTGAGACTGGAGTTTGAACTCAGGGCTTTGCACTTACAAAGCAGGCACTCTGTCACTTGAGCCACACCTCCAGTTCATTTTGCTCTGGTTATTTTAGAGATGGGAATCTCATGAACTATTTGCCTGGCTGGACTCCAACCTCAATCCTCCTGATCTCAGCTTCCTAATTAGCTAGAATTACAGTCCTGAGCCCCAGCATCTGGTAGTTTTCTTTTTAAAGAGGAAAAATGTCCAGGTGTATTTGCCAAGCATTTCTAAGAAATTATTGCAGGACTGGTGGAGTGGCTCAAGCATAAATGCCTGCCTAGCAAGCATGAGGTCCTGAGTTGAAAAACCCCAGTGCTACCAAAAGAAAAAAGTAAAAAAAAAAAAAAAAAAGAAAGAAATTACTGCAAACTATGGCAATGAGATACACTGACAACAAAATCTTATGCTAGAAAACGGGTGGAGGGGAAAAGGTTATGATAAGAAATTTTAATGTAACTGCAATGATGGTAGAGCCACTAAGATTGGCTCTCAGATGGTGAAGAGATAACTAAGAGAACTTTCCACCTGTTAACCTTTAATACTTCAAAGTTAACATAAATATATGTTATAAAGAATAGCATCTTATTTGTTTTTCTGAGACACTAATAATTTTAGCATAGTAGTAAGGGCTCAGCAAACACATATTGAATAAATGAACAAAAAAGTACAGAAAATAACTTCATACAAGTGAAAATATATTCAGAGGGCACACATTCCTGACACAGAAGTGTTGCTATGACCACACATCTCAGTTGTATTTAGATAAAGGAATTTATACAGAGCTACGAGTATGTGCCTAAAAGGTTTTAAATTAATAATCCTATAAAATGGGCTGTGATGTATCAAACACAGCACAACAAAACCCAGGTCATTAGATAAAACTATTAATGTAAGGAGACCTCACAGATACACCTGCTTTCCCTTGTAGCAAACATATCCAAAACTAAAAAAAAACCAAACAAACAAACAAACAAAAAAAAAACAAAACAGAGGACCTAACACAAGTCTGAACATCCTGGAGGGAAGGCAGTAAGAACAACTAACTTGAAATTGTTGCTATACATTATAATCAGGTGTTGGTTAGCACTTTCAGATGTCCATTAAGTCATCAGGTGGTTTCTGTTTCAATGCAGTTTTTATACTAGCAAGCTCTTCTGTTGTAATGATGTATGCAGATTGATTCAATTTTACAATGAGTAAATATAAGAGTGACAAGAACTTCCTGGAATTTGCTCTTCATTTACTTCTTCTGAGCTGAGTGCAGAGACTAGATCTTACTCATCTCTGCATCCTATTGGTCTACACTTCAACCCAGGAGTTGTCTAACAAACAAACACTTTTAAAATTACTACAGAGCATTTTTAACTCTCAGATAATTTCAAACTTTATCATTCCATTTTGCCTTCACAATGACTCTGTATGATAAGTGAAGAAGGGATCATAGTCTGTGTTGTAAGAGCAGAAACTGAGGTACAGATACCTTGTAACTTCTGTCTCCAAGTGTTTTAGTGAATCCAATCTTAAAACCTTTCATTAGTTCTGTCAAAATTCACAAGTGAACCTCTGAGCAAAAGGCAGCTCAGATGTACTAAATGGCAAATATATTCATTAGTAAAAGTTATTAATCATTTATTATGGACAGGACACTCTATGGAAGATAAAAAGTATGAGCCATGAGCCCTTATAAATAGATTATAGTGGGGTTATGGTCATAAAGTGTATTACCACAAATACTAATCTTGATGTCAGATATAAGAGATGATATTATGGATGTGAGGGCGATCTGGCTGCGACATCTGTCACCCCATTGATCGCCAGGGTTGATTCGGCTGATCTGGCTGGCTAGGCGGGTGTCCCCTTCCTCCCTCACCGCTCCATGTGCGTCCCTCCCGAAGCTGCGCGCTCGGTCGAAGAGGACGACCATCCCCGATAGAGGAGGACCGTTCTTCGGTCAAGGTATACGAGTAGCTGCGCTCCCCTGCTAGAACCTCCAAACAAGCTCTCAAGAGATGATATTATAATTCCTTGTAAGACAAAGAAAGGTATTTCCATTGTCCTATGGTTTCTAAACAGCCATTATTTTTTCTTTTGTAACTTGTTCTAATTGTGGTGCTGGGAATTGAACCCAGGGCCTCGAGCATGCTAGGCAAGCACTCTACCTCTGAGATACATCCCATCGCCACCACCCTAATTCTTGTAATTTTTGAGACACAGTTGTCGTATGGCAAAGAGTATAATGACCAAAGTTATGACTCACCAAGTAATCTCTCAATGTCATCCACAACCACACAACTCAGTTGGGATTTGTATGCATCATCAAAGATCTGGAAGAAAGCAAAACTATATAATTATCTCACTGCCCTCCATAGTTGTGATCATTTCCAAGATTAAATTTAGTTAATTGCTGAGCAATTCCTAAGCAAGGTACAGTAAAACACCAATACTTTAGACTATAGCAAATTAGAATTTAATAGATTATAAGATTTTAGAACTGAAAGGGTTCTCACAAGAAAATTGAGGTTCAAAGCAGTTAAAAGACAACACAATTGGATCATGGCTGTATAGAGCCGACTAAGGCTGTTTTCAGCACTAAGGGCTGCAGGTGTTTCACCTGTGCACTCAAAGGAACTACTGGTCATTTACCAATTGACAAACCTCATCATGTTTATCACATTGGTGTCTCTTAACTATGTCAGAAGCATGACTTCAGTGTTGTAACTCAAGTGCTAGATAAAGTCACAAGGGATATGTTAGATGAAATTTGATGTCATTTTACTATCTGGAAGAACTGTGGTCCTGTTAGGCAAGAATAACACTGAGACCAGAATCCCATCAACTCAAAGCAGATCATAATGGTAAAAGAGTTTACAAAAGAATTAAAGTTGGGTATGAAGGATCAGCTAGATGTATATGTAAAACCAGACAAAAGATACGAGTACATTGTCTTAAGACAGCCAAAGGAATGCAGATTAAAATAAGCAGTGAAAGAAGCTGGCAAAGATGCAGCAATTTCAAAACAGATAGAAAAATTAGTTTATGTGTAAGTTGAATACAAGTATCCATGGTCTTGAGGCCAGCCCTTTTGTAAATGACAGGGGATCTATTCCAGAGACTGTAAGTAGGGTTTAGTACACTTCATTTATGTCATGAGTAAGGAATAATTTCTGCACCTAGCCCCATCCCTCTGGTTGACAAGTAATCTGACTGCATCAAGATGGCAACACTCACTCCAGACCCACCTGCATCTTGCTTGTTGAGGTTGCATACTATTCCTTGGTAGGTATCTTTTAGCCATAGAAGATTTAGAAATAAGTTTAAAACTATAGTAAATCAAACTCATAATATTAATATTTTTCATATTATATTAAGTTTAAAAATGAGCTGTGTATATGTGATCTTTAAGGCATATGTAACAATTAAGAAATGTTACCAATACTAGTAGGAGGGGGAAGGTAAATGAAGAGGGTAAAAAAGGGTGAATAGTGTTGATGTAGTCTGTACACATGTATGAGTACAGAACACTGAAAACTGTCAGTCATTTTAAGAAAAGGGGAGGTGGAAGAGGGAACAGAATGGAGGAAATAAACCAAACTGAGGTACATTATATGAATATGTGGGAATGTCACAACAAAACCCCCTATACAACTATTATAAACTAATAAAAATGTTTAAAAAAAAAGTTACCATAATAGATTCCCATCGGCACCATCCTAATTCAGTTCCTTGTTACATCCTTCCTGGCGTAAATACTGACAACAATTTCTGCCTTCACATATTGAATCACATCAATATCTCTAGTGGAGATGCTTTCTTTTGCTCCATCCTCATTGTCTCTCAATCATTGCCACACACTTTGTCAAAGTCCTACCTATCCTTTTCTCTGTAGCTGTAGTATCTCCCGCTGGAGTGTGACATGGATAAAAACTTCACTCTGATCATGACATTTCCAGTATCCAGCACAGAACAAAATCTAGTAATGATGTTTATTCAACTTACTCAATGATTGACACAACTTCCATCTTGCTCTAAGTAACTTGTCTATCTTCTCCTTTGATACAGCATTTTATATATTGTATTCGCCCCTATAATGTACTAGATTATAAGTACTCAGAAGGCAAGTGCTGCTTTAATTATTTCTGTATCATCAAATCACTTAATACCTTACCAGAAAATAACTAACAAGTATTTACTAAAAGAATAAATTTAGACAGGTGTGATAGTGTATGCCTGTAATTGCTCTTGAGTGCTGAGACACGAAGATTGTGAGTTTGAGGCCAGCAGCCTGGGCTGCAGAGCAAGACACTGTTTAAAAAAAAAAAAAAAAGTAGAAGAATAAATTTAAATGTATGCTTTTAAAATTCAAGTAGAAATATCAAGTAAGTAGTTGAAGATGTCTGAAGTCAGGGCGTAGAAACTGCTCACAGGGCAGTAACTGCAGAAATTATGACAGTTAACTAGTAGAAAAGGGGGAAAGAAGTATCCTAAGTAGACTGTACTAAATAGGTGACACAGAAATGAGAAAATTCAGGAATGCTGCAGGAACTGATATTCAGTCAGTAAGGATTAAAGTGAAGAGGTAACAATGCTGACATGGTAAGTTTGGGAGGGCTGAGCGAGGTGACAATGCTCATGTGGAGGGGGAAAGAGAAGTAGAAAAGATGATAAATGAGTCTGGACAGTGGGGCGGTCTTAACAATTCTAATTGAGTTTAAATTTTACTGCAAAGGCAATAAAAAGCTACTACAGAGATTTTTCTGTTTTTGTGGTACTGTGGTTTGAATTTGGGGTCTCATGCTTGCTAGGCAGGTACTCTACCACTGAGCCATGCCTCTAGCCCTTTTTGCTTTAGGTATTTTTCTTTCTTCCTTCCTCCCTTTCTCTCCCTCCCTCCCTTCCTTTCTTTCTTTTTTGAGGTATGGGGGTTTAAATTCAGGGCTTTGCACTTGGTAGGCAGGCACTCTACCACTTGAGTCATGCATTTAGCTTGCTTTAGGTATTTTTCAAGTAGGGTATCAACGTTTATGCCTGTGCCAGCCTAGACTGCAATCCTCCTTTTATGATTCCTACCTAGTTATAGTAACAGATGCAACACCGCCACACCCAGCTTTTATTGGTTGAGTTGGGGTATCACTTAACTTTTTGCTTGGGCTGGCCTTGAACTGCAATCCTCCCCATGTCTGCCTCCCAAGTGGCAGGATTACAGGCATGAGCCATTGCACCCAGGTTGTTTTGTTTTTGAGACAAGGTCTTTCTACATATAGATCAGACTATGATCCTCCCTGAACCTATGATCCTCTTGCTTCAGCCTCCCAAGTGCTGAGATTATAGATGTGTGTTACCATGCCTGGCACCACTACAGAGTTAAGCAATAGACTGAGAGTGCAGATGTATGTTTTTAGAAACTTTTTTTCTGGATGATGTATGAAAAAGCATTAGAGGGGAGTAAAAGTTTGAGACTATGGAATTCTACGCGAGAAATGATGGTCTAGATGTGGATGTGCTGAGAAGAGGATAAATACTACAGATATTTAGGGGATAGAACTGAAGGACTTGGCAAAGGAATGTGTGTGATGATGAGAGAGAAAGAGGAGTTAAGGACTCGTCCTGGTTTGGCAAGTGAAATAAAGAATAGTGAAGTTGATTTGGGGATGGATCATGAGCACATTAGAACAAGAAGAGAACCCCTTAGCTACCCACCTCCTTTCCCGCCCCCCTCCCTGCTGCCCCCAAAAAAAGGGAAGACAAGCTGAGAAGAGTAGGGTAGGTCAGTCTCCTGATATGTAATGATTCCTTTTGGCTTTGGGTTGATAAACCATTCAAGACAATGGAAAGGTCCGGAAGCAGTTCACAAAGGTAGCATCTTATAAACTCTGGTGATTTCAGGGAATAGCTGAAATAATGCTTTGCTTTTCAAAACATTTTTTCAGAGTTCTATATCAAGTTCTGAGGCAAGCATATAATTCTGCCCATCAGGCTGTGAAACCATGAATTACAGCCACAGGGGCCTGGGATATGGGGGCATGGCTGCTTGCTGTGATTCTATACTTTTCCTGAATCACCCCTTCTCCTTTCTTAAAACAATGAGTAGTTTACAGGCTAGAGGGACCTTGCTCAGGACATTTCTGGGTCTAAACAGATGATAAATTGCTCTGTGGTGTGTAGTCTCATCAACTTATCTCACATATCATGATTCACAAAGCATTACAAATCACTTTACATAAGGTAAAGTAGTGCTTTTCATTTATTTTTAATAGACATCTCTCAGTGCATTAATTACTATCAGAGAGAAGAGCATTCACAGCTAACAGCATACTAACCAGGAAACACTGTGTAATGCCAGTTGTAACTTGACTAGTTTCGGTTGACTAGTCAACTCTTCAGTTGAGGAGGCAACTGAAACTCCTCCAGGTAGCTATTCTGCTAATTTAAATGTACACACACACACCCCTTTCACTTCTTACACATGCATTCTCTTCCTTATCTGCTCACTAGTGTAATGAGATCATTACTCTTCTCCTGGACCCACAAGTATGTCTAGTCTCAGAAACTCTGCTTCCTGGTCTAGTCCCCAGCAGAATGCTTACGAAGAAGAGACTCAGATTTAACTAGCAAGGACACGAGATTAGCTGCCAGATTAAAATCTAGTAATATCTTTCCATACTGAGCTGGAAAGTTCTACCATAACTTTAGGTAGATATATTCAAAAAGGAGGAGAGGTGCTAGAAGGAAGGATACAGAAAAAGTGAAATAGTGCAAACTGCCCCAGTTAGAATAGAACAACTTTCTATAAGTATTGCACACAGTATACCTGCAGTGACTGCTCCAGATCAAAAACACCATAACCTGAAGCAGCCAGGTGGGCAGAAGCTGGAGTTAGGGGCTGTATCTTATAAACTCTTTTGAAAAGTTAATCTGAAAATGTATGATCATCTTGGTTTTATCACAAAGTTTTCTCTAGAGCAGGTAAAATTATCTGCATATACATATACATATTAGTGAGTCAGATAGGAAGTCTGAAAGAGAAAGCTAAATGAAAAAAAATGAGAAGAGCAGCATCAGTTAGCATGGAAATGATGAGGCCTACTCTAGAGGACAAAGATAATCTCTAGAGTGGCAAATCTTGCAGTCTGTTTCCAGCTGTGTATATCTTACACTTGTCATGGTTAAACTCTCATCTCTCTTGCTTCTAAAGGCAGTCAGTACCACCCAGACTTGAGGGTCATAAGAGACAACCTGGAATGTGGGGAGCCTAGGCTCTAGGCAAGAGTGTGCTGGAGGTACCATGTGAGCATAACAAGTAGAAGTAGGCTCCTGACACAGGGAC